GCTCCCACCTGGAGTTGTCCCAAGTCACTATCCCATTTCGCTGGCTAGAGCAAGTGCTGTGGTCGCTCTTAACTACAAGGGTCGGAGAAGCACAGTACTTCCCACTGAACCCGGGCCTAAACAGAGGATGAGACCTATTTATGAACAATGCTAATGACCACCCTGTTTCCCTACCTGAGTGTTAATTAGGATGAGCCGGTCTCCAAAGTGACCTCATGTGAAAGGTATTTAAAACAGTGTCCTAGGCTGGGCGCGGTGGCTCACGCCTGTAATCCCAGCACTCTGGGAGGCTGAGGCGGGCGGATTGTTTGAGCTCAGGAGTTCGAAACCAGCCTGAGCAAGAGCGAGACCCCGTCTCTACTAAAAAAGAAAGAAATTAATAGGACAACTAAAAATACATAGAAAAAATTAGCCGGGCATGGTGGCGCATGCCTGTAGTCCCAGCTACTCGGGAGGCTGAGGCAGAAGGACTGCTTGAGCCCAGGAGTTTGAGGTTGCTGTGAGCTAGGCTGATGCCACGGCACTCTAGCCCAGGCAAGAGAGTGAGACTCTGTCTCCAAAAAAAAAAAAAACAGTGTCCTAGCAGGTGGTTTCTATTGTGCTTCCCACATCACAGGTGGGAAAACTAAGGCTTGGGGATGTTCGTAACTTGCCTGGGTGGTAAGAGGTGGGGCTGGGGTTCAGCCCGGGCTGTGGGATCAGCTTTGCTGCCCTCCCCGCCCTGCCCCCATGCCGTGTGGCTGGAGAGGGAAGGGACAGACCCCAGAAACAATGAGGCTCGATTGGGGCCGGATAGTTCTTGTGGGTCTGCCCTAAGGATCGTAGGGTGGTCAGCAGTGTCACTGCCCTCTACCCACTAGGTGACAGTGGCAACACCCCTCACAGTAGTGACAGCCAGAAATGCCTCCCAGTGTTGCTGAAGGAGCCCCTGGTGGGGAAGGGAGGTTCTCATCCCCCATCGGGAACCGGGGTCTGGACGCAGAGGCCGGCTTGAGCAGGGCTGGTGGGGCACTTGGTGGTTGGCGGTGGTGGGGTTGGTTACTCATTTCACTTCCTTGGCACCCCCGTGAGCCCGCAGGGCAGCTGCCAGCTTCAGCGCGCACTGTGTGGTCAGCAGTGGCTGTGACCAGTCCTGGCCGTGACCAAGGCATCTCACCTTTGCCTCTTGGAGGTGCCAGTCTCCAGCCACCGCGACCGCCTGCTGGACCTGGCTGCTTATGACCAGCAGGGCCGCCGATTCGACAACTTCAGCTCTCTGAGCATCCACTGGGAGTCCACCAGGCCGCTGCTGGCCGGCATTGACCTTGACCACACTTGTGGTTGGTGTCCCAGGACGATGGGAGCGGTCAAAAGAAGCTGCATGGCACGGTGAGCGGGGTGGCGAGCCCGATGGCCTGGCGCAGGAGGACAGAGACCAGTGCACAGTGGCCAGACAAGAAGTGTGCCAGGGCAGGCTGGTGCCCGTTGGGAGCTCAGTTATCTGGGACTCCCCTTGGTCCAGAACTAAAAGGTAGGGCGCACTGTGAGCTCACTGGTCTTCTTCAGTCTGCACACTTTGGGAGGTAGCAGGTAGAGGCTCAGGCCCCACAGCAGGGGAGTCTCCAGTGCCAGGGTGTGCAGCAGATCTTTCCAGCTCCAACACCTGTGCTACTTTATGCCCAGGTGCGTCCGAAATCCCCGACAGCCAAAAGTTAAATCTCTTTCCCCCAACTCATCTCAGCTGCTCCATGAAGTCTTGGTCAGGGCCTGTTGACTCTTACAGTACACACAATTTCAACAGACTCGGTTACTGGTTTTCAGGTTTGAAACTGCAGATCAGAAGGAGGGAGGAGTCGCTTCAGCGGTGGCGATGGGGCAGACATCCAGCATCAGTTTCCCTCTTCCTGGACTCAGGTTTGCGGCCATTTCAGTCCAGGAGGCATCGGAACCACAGCCGTCACTGCCACCGTGACTAGCTACCAGCAGTCCCATCTCAGCACAGCCAGAGTGAAGCAGCAGGTATGTCCCAGGGCCCAGCGGTGGGCGAGGCCATGGGCAAGGCCAGGAGATCTCCCAATGCTGTCTGAATTCTGCCCAAATTCCACCTGGTGTCCAGGTGTCCTGAGCGCCCTCACTGGCCACAGCCCTCAGTCCCCAGCGTGCTCCCTGAACTGGGAGTGTGCTCACTGCCTCGGATCGCCCCTGCCCCACACCCCTTCCTTGTGGGCTCCTGGAGGGATCCACTGAAAACTCAAACGGACCCTGTCACCTCTGGCCTCCAGCATGCTCCTAGTAGCCCTGCGACCTTCAGGAGGAATCCGTCCCCACGCCTCTGCCTTACAGACCACCCAGTGTGCCCGTGGGGGTCACACCATCAACGCACGGTCCCAGCTGCTGGGAATGCCCCCTCCCTCCTCGCTCCTGCACCGGCTAACCTTCTGTCCTTCTAGTCCCAGCTAAGATGTCAGCCCCTCTGGGGAGTGTCCCTAAGCCCTGGACACAGACTAGCTTTTTGCCCCAGATCCCAGAGCCCTTGTGCCTCCTGCTGTCACAGCACAGAAACATCCCCCCAAACACACTACGCGTACTGTTGCCACCATCTGTGCACACAGATCACCGCCCACTGGACCACCCCTCTCAGCCCCAGCATCTCATGGGGGCCCCAGGCAGGGGCGTTGCTAGTGGGGCCCAAATGGGTGCATGCGAGGTAGGAGTGGGAAGGGTTCCCCATGAACGGTCCTGCCTGGAGGACAGCCACCCCATGGTGGGGGGTGTGGCGTCAGTGACCTTGTGTTTTCGACAAGGTAGAGGCAGCAGATAATGGCTGGAAAGGGAACGTGCAGCCTGATCCCTGGGACCCTAAGTGCTAGGATGAGGAGCTTCGGTTGGCACCTGGCTACACAGCTTTGGAAAAGGCCAGGGCCCCCGTTGGGGCAGCACTGAGGAGGCTGGCCTGGAGGGAGTGGCCACTGACAGGGCTCACCTGTGTCTGTCCCTGGCGGCTGGGCCTCTTCCTCATGCATGTTCCCACCAGGAATCCCTTGGCCGGAGTAGGGGGCCTCCTGGGCTGGCTGGGCCTAGACACCCCGACAGGATCCCTCCAGGGCCTTTGCACTCACGCTCTGTGCCCTGGGGGCTCCCTGTCACTGGCGTGGCTCAGGTGTCCTCAGCTTGAGGTCTGTGCTCCCTGAGAGCTCCTCTCCCTCTCAGACCCCTCCTTGCCCGTGGCACCCACAGTGCACCCAGCACCTTTCTGTCCTTTCCTCACTCTTCCCTGAGGGCAGCTGCTGCACCCCCTGTGCCGTGCATGCGCCTGGTGCACAGTGGGTGCTCAGTTAATCCGACTGTGGGTGAGTCAGATATGGGCCGGGTCAGGCAGTCTCCTCGAATGACACGTGACAGGAAGCAGAGCCATGCGGTGTGCCGCCTGAGGCAGTGAGGGCTGTCCTTGTCCTCTTGGGAGCCAGCCGTGAGGACTCTTCCACGGGACCCTCCCCGACGGCTTAGCCTGGCCTGCGACTGTCCCGTTTGCCCAGCCCCCGTCCACTCCCCCAGTGCAGTATCCGCCATGGCCATCTGCTCTGAGATCCTGAGGGTCAGGGTGTGTGTGAGTTTCCCACCCAGTGGGGCCTGGCAGGGTGGGGTGGGGCTGTCCTCTGAGCAGGACTGATGCTCACCCAGCCTCTGTCTGGAGTGGAGGAGGCGGCAACTCACTCCGCCTTGGGTGAGGGAGGCCTGAAAGGGGACATGGCCACCCAGCTGGGCTCAGGAGCACCACGGTTTTATCGGGGTTTGCTTCCCAGACGGAGTGAGTGGGCAGGACCTGGGGCTTCTAGGGCAGCTCTTCCCTAGGCGTGGGCTGCAGGCAGGCATTGTGTTGGCCCACAGTTGGCCATGGCCTCGGATCTGACGGTGTTGGCCTTGCCCCTTCAGCACGACCCTCCCGTGCCCGTGTCGGCCTCCATAGAGCTCATCCTGGTGGAGGACGTGAGGGTGAGTCCAGAAGAGGTGACCACCTACAACCACCCTGGCATGCAGGTATGATCCTTGTCCTGCCACAGTCCCACCGAGGTGAGACCCACTGGGGGCGCCCCTTGACCTCCGACATGCAGCCCGACCCATCCCTGCCTCTCCCTCCTGTAGGCGGAGCTGCACGTCAGAGAAGGCTCCGGATACTTCTTCCTCAACACGAGCACTGCAGACGTTGTCAAGGTGGCCTCCCAGGAGGCCAAAGGGGTTGCCATGGTGAGTAGCCTTTAGTTCCTCATCTGGGCCAATGTGTGGTTAGTGGATTGACTATTCCATAAGCTGGCACTTAGTCACACCAGGTATAACTAGCAGGGTCTTTGGAGTGTCCGCTTCATCCCGCAACTTTAGTCATTGCCGCGCTGCCTCTGTGGGTTTGTTCCACATCCACACGCTGCTCACGCCGTTAGTTACCTAACGGCTTCCTTCAAGCACGCCTTTAATTAAGACTAAAACATTATTTCATAAGCACCACTATAACAACCACAAAGAAAATCGTTTTTAGAAGATGCTTCAGCTTTTTCTATTAATATTTTTCCCGTGTTTCTTTCCCGACCCTCTCCCTATCCTTGCAAGTACTGACTTAGCTATGCCCATAGAGGGCAGAATTTAGCATTGTGCCTTTTTTGATTATGTTACACTAAGATTTTATATTTTTCCCTGTTGTGATATAGGCTAGGCAATTATTTTATGCTGTCATTTGTACTTCAGCCGCTTTCTTTTGGTGGAGCATGTGGATTTTTTAAAACATTCTATTTTTAAAAAAAATATAGCAAAGCATAGAGTAAAAAGAGCAAAAACAAACGCCACCGACCTACATATCCGCACATCTGCATCATGTGTTACTAGGCAGTCATGAAAAGTGAACTCATGTAAAACCACTCCCCTAAGTCATGAATGCCAAGGCTCAGCCCTGACGTCCACCTGTGTGATGGGGACCAGGCTGAGGACAGCCTGAGTACAAACTATGTTGTACTGCAAAGTGCACAAAAGTGCTTAATGAATTTTACATATGAAAGCACCATGTGCAAACACAATCTAGTTCAAAATACTGAACCTTTTCAGCAGCCCAGAAGAGCCTACCATGCTTCCTCCTAGCCACAACCTCCCTGCACCCAAAAGTAATGATGGCGCTGATTTCCACCCTCATGGATTAGCCGTGCCTGCTCCTGAACTCTGTAAGTGAAACAACACAACACATACCTTCTTGTATCTTTTCTGTGTGTGACTCACCCATGTTGGTACATGCAGCTGTGGTTTGGTCTATTTCATTGCTGTGCAGTGTTCCATTCCTTGCAAATGTTACCACTGACGTTTCCATTCCTTTGCTTTGGTGGTCACAAAGTGTCATTTTGTGGGCACGTGCACTTTCTTAAACAAACAGACTTTATTTCTTTAGAGCAGTTACAGGTTCACAGCAAAATCGAGCTGTGTGAAAGTGCAGAGTTCCCGCATCCCCCCCAACCCCTGCAAACACACAGCCTCCTCCACTGCCCACGTGCCCGAGAGAGGCGCATTGTTACACTCGGTGAACCTTCGCTGACTCATTGTCAGCCACTCTGACTCCTTTAGTGTTAGGGAATGCTCTGTCATGAATCCCTGGTCGCTGTTCTTGCTCTGCACTCTGCTGTGATCCTGCTTTCTTTGGTTAGTGTTAGCATCATATATTTTCTCCATCCATTTACTTTTCATGTGATGTGTCTTTGTTTTTAAGATGGGTTCCTGGTAGACAACCTGAAGTCAGGTGTTGTTTTTTAATGCACTCTGACAATCTTTATCCTATATTTTAACCATTGACATTTAAAGTAATTATTGATACAGTTGTGTAAAAGGGAATGGCCGGGAAAGAAAAAAAAAAAGATTTTCTGTCTTTTTAAAACTTGTCCCAACCTTTTTGGAACTGCAGCCTGGCCTGCATCCCTGGGGCAGGTTAAGTCTTATGTTAAAACTCCCAGGTGGTGCCAGCCCCCAGGTGGGCAGCTGGGGACTTCAGAGCTTTGTCTTTGCAGACATGGGACAATTAGAATAGTTAACCCAGTAGTTGCCTGAAGCTAAGAACCGTCCCTGTAGAAGCTCTGTATCTTGCCTATATGGAGGAAAAAATTGGACTTTGAGAAGATACTCTGCTTTTTCCTCCATTTGCCAACAAAGGTAATAAATCTCTTTCCCCATCCCCAAAAGACTTGTCCTTGTTCTTCCGATTCAGCCTCCTGGACAAGGGCCCAGTTTTCGGTAACAGATTTTGGCGTCTCTGGGTGGGCCCACTGGCTCCCAGCAGAATTGCACCCTGCCACGTTGGAGGAGGCAGGGAACAGCTCCTTCCCCTTCCCATCCTCCTCCTCTAACTCTCTGCTCTTCCTCCTCCATGCACAGCACAGGGGCCCTCAGATCACAGTGGCCGCGCCCAGGAGCTCATTAGGAAGGCAGGCTCTCGGCCCACCCCAGACCTGCGATCAGAACCTGCTTCTCAGCAAGACCCCCGGGACTTCCGTGCACTTTTCTAACCTCAGAGTGATCTGAGTTAATTGAAGTAGAAAATACAGACAAGCAAGAAGAAAAGAGACATCGCCTGCGGCCCCTTTCCTGATTGCTAATTGCACGTTCACTCGCGGTTCTTTCTCCCAGGTTTTTCCCTACACACACGCACACAGAAACAACGTGTCCTTACAGAAATGTCAGTAAGTTAGACTTGGTGACCTATGTTCTTCGTGCATGTAAACACATCAGGGCATCTTGCCATGTCGGCAAGGACAGGTCTATATCCAAGACTCACTCGTTCATGGATTCAACAAATAATTAAGTGCTTCCTGTGTGCCAGGCCCTGTGCTAGGTTCTGGGTTTACACTGGGGAATAAAACAATTATAGTCCAATCAGGGAAAAAGATAAACCGAGAATCACACTGTACGAAGAGCATTGCCAATGTGACGAATTCCTGGAAGTCCCGTGGGGGGACTTGACCTGGTCAGGGAGGCGACGACTGGGCTGGCGTTGGAAGAGTGAGTGGTGGTTACCGCAGTGGGGCGGGGTGGGGAGAGCGTTGCAGGCAGCAGGCACAGTGCTCAGGGCTGCAGGCCGGAGGGAGTGCAGCAGAGAGCAAGGGAGGTGGTGTGTGTAAGGCTGGTGGCGGGCACCTCTCCCCTCCCTAAAGAAAAAAGGAGAAGCCCACAAATGACTGCCAGGCTCAGCTGAGTTAAAGAATAACCACACCCGGACGTTGACCTGGATAAGACAAGTTTCAAGTTTCGGTCTGTGGTGAGCTGAGAGCTTTACAATAAGGGGTTAATAAATGAAATAAGCAGTACACCAGGGGCTGGCTAAATTATAGCTACATAGTTGAAGTGTTACACTGAAAGAATAGTCTTTTGTCTAATAACTGCCATCTGCTTCTGTAACTCTGCTGGCAGCTTGCTTTGAGGATCGTAATCTGCCTTCGGGCACCAGAGATCTGTGAGGGCAACTATACCCTGTGACCTTGTATTTTACAACCCAGACTTCACTCCCCGCTTTTGTTCCCTGAACACCTGCACTATGTCACGTAGCCTCCCTCAAAAATAGTATAAAACTCTCGTAGAAACTTGAGATGGTGCCATCCTCTCGTACTGCTTTTATGTGGGCAGAGGTGGTCGCTGGCCAGCTAATAAAGACTCTCAATTTGGCTTCATTGAATTCTCCTGTGGTCTGTTCGCGCCCTCCATACAACAACATTTGGAGGCCCCAGCGAGATACCGCCCTGTAATAGGGCATCTGCTGACCACTAGTGCTTGGGGGTCAGGTGCGCGGTCAGGTTCCTAAGCCAGGGGGGAGCTCCTGAGGAGGACTTCTCTCCTCAGCCCCGGGGGAAACCTGGCTGCGC